TAGAATCATTGGATTACATTTCAATGAATTCTTTTTAATCCATATTCTAAATTCTATATCTAGAATTAGGTTATTACTGATATATGCAGATTTGACCTGGTCATTGAGTTTGGCCAGTCACCTGGAAACCATTTCATCCTGACTAACCATTGCTGGGGAACTAGTACAGTTGTTTGGAGGTAAAAAGTCTATCTTTCTGAGTTCTCAAAGTTCTTGCACTTATTCTTCCTCATGTTTGTGAGTTGATGTTTCTTCAATCTTTAAAGTTGCTTTCTTTGGATGCTTTCTTCTTTTATTTGATTTCGTCAGGGGTTTAATTGTGGTATAAAATGGGTTCAGTTTACTGACTTTGTTTCTGTAAAAAATTGGAAGGCTATAGCTCAGCTCGGCACTCCTGGGCAGTGTGCTCTAATTCTGGAGAGCTGGTATCCTGGCCCTTTGAGGTTAGAAACCTGCTGCACTGGTGGGCTAAAGTGTTCCTGGGCCATAGGCCACAACACTCTGATGTGTGCTGCCGGCCAAAGCACTTCATTAGACAGGGGCCAGCTGGAACTCTCGATGGCCAGGCACTGTTTGCCACTGCAGGAGTTTTAATGCAGGTCCCTGGGAGGAAGCCCATTTGGGCATCCAATGCCATACTGCAAGCAGCCATCACTGGATAGACTGGTTCCAAGAAGAGACCAGCAGACAGGGTTCACTCAGGTCAGACTGGCCCATCTCCCAGGAAAGGATACCGGGCTCTGTTAAGGTCTGACAGTTCCCCTAAAACAAAAGTCTCCTAGGGTAGTGAGGGAAGCCTTCAGGTTTGGGCATTCCTAGCCGTGCTCCAACACAGACACTCCTACACTAAACCCTCTGCCTTCTGCACTAAACCCTCTAGAGTCCTGCCCTAACACATCTCCAACCAGCTATCCCTGCTAGCTCAAGTGTCCATGGGGGTCATGGGTCCTCTGCTGCCATGATTCCAGAGGTCCATGGTAAGAGTGGGTTGCTCCTTGCCTGCTCATCTCACCTCTTCCCCAGGAGTCATTCAGGCCAGGAAGAAGTCCCTGCGCATAGTAGCCCCATGCAGAGTACCCATCTTCTTCCCCCTCCATCCTAGCATGTGTGTTCTTCCTCCATCCACTCTCAATGCCTACCCTCAGATGATATATTAAGAGTGCACCAGTCTTCCCAGTGTCCCAGTCTACTGGTAGCAGATACTCCTCCTCGCTGCATCTATTCAGCCACCTTAGAAACTATTATTTACTTTATGAAATACACATGTATTTTTTTCTTATAACTTGCTTTTGGCCATTTTATTACTTCTTTCTACCTTTAATTGAGGGACATAAACAAGTAAGAGTTGAAAATCCAGTCAGCCTGACAACGTTTTGGGGAAAATACTTAATTCATATAGAGAATAAAATTAACAATTAAGGCTTCGTAATAATTTAACTTTGCTGTTGCTATCCTCTTTTAGAAAGTCACATATAGGGGAGTTTAAGATGATAGACAAGAAGCAGCTACTGTACACTGCTCTCATGGAGATGAAACAAAGTGGTAAGTAAATACTGGTTCTTTCTTTCTTCAAATGGATTGCCAGGGAGATCCCATGAAGATTCACCAAGGAAGCAACAGGACCAACAAAGAACAAAGAGGAGTGAGGCCAGGCAGCTTCCCACCCAGAACTGATGTGGAATTCAGATATTTAATGGTGTCAGAATTTTTATGCTGGTTCCTGCTCATCTGGAGAGGAATGGGTAGGTCTTTTGGCTTTGCTTCTATTGCCTTATGGTATTTTGGCTTTGCTTCTATTACCTTATGCACTTCTGTGGACTGGTTTTATATTGAGCTGTGCAAGCTGATTGATGGTGCTGTCAAGTGAAAGCCAGTTGCAACACAAGCAGGTAGGTATGTACCTCATCTTTGTTTATGCTTTGCTCTCTGTTGTTTCAAGTGAAGGACTGGACATTGGAGTACCTGGTTCCCTAAGCTTCCTGTTCTATGGGGTTGGAAGGACACAGCTGTGTCAAGCTGAAGCCCCTTGCTTTCTCACAAATACCCAAATGGCAAACACAGGCACCTGCCCTAATGAGGGTTAATGGTAGGAGCTCCTTGTGAAGTGCACTGAAGACTGTGCAGGGAGTTGAGGTGACTGCACCAGCTTCCTGTCCTACACAGGGAAGAACTTGATTTGTTTTCCTATTACACAACTGTTCCAGGGCTTATGACTCCTAGTTTAGATCCATATTCTAGTCTATCTCCGGACTACAATGAGGTTGAGAGCCGCAATAAATGCCTGTTTTGTGACTCTCTGTGGGAGTGGTTTCAGGGCATAATTTCATCTCTGAACTGGATACAGACAGTTTTATGGCTCATCTCTTTGCCAGTGTGACAGTACTGCTGCTGCTTGTAAATGGTGTATGGGGTAGGGGGCTCCACCTTTGGGCCCACGTAAGTGAGTTTTGGTTCTGGTGGTTGTGGCTGGTGAGGTCAGCCTGACTTCAGGCCCTGGGGAAGTGATCAGGTGCCAGTAGAGTTGGAACAGCGTAAGTAGGATAGGTAGCTGGTTCCCAGGCCACTAGATGGCTGGCAGAACAGTGGGTATGAGTACTGAAGGGGCTGTGTAAACAGTGCCGCAATAAACATATGTGTGCATGTGTCTTCATAATAGAATGATTTATAATCTTTCGGGTACATACTCAGTAATGGAATAGCTAGGTCAAATGGTACTTGTAGTTGTAGATCCTTGAGGAATCATCACACTGTCTTCCACAATGGTTGAACTAATTCACACTCCCACCAACAGTGTAAAAGCATTCCTATTTCTTCACATCCTCTCCAGCATCTTTTGTCTTTTGAGTTTTTAATGATTGTCATTCTAAGTGGCGTGAGATGGTATCTCAATGCGGTTTTGATTTGCATTTCTCTGATGACCAGTGAAGATTAGCTTTTTTTCATGTTTATTGGCTGCACAAATATCTCCTTTTGAGAAGTATCTGTTCATATCCTTTGTCTGCTTTTTGATTGGGTTGTTTTTTCTTGTAAATTTGTTTAAGTTCTTTGTAGATTCTGGATATTAGCCCTTTGTCAGATGGGTAGCTTTCAAAAATTTTTTCCCATTCCATTGGTTGCCGGTTCACTCTAATGACAGTTTCTTTTGCTGTGCAGAAGCTCTTTAGTTTAATTAGATCACATTTGTCTATTTTGGCTTTTGTTGCCATTGCTTTTGTGTTTTAGTTATGAAGTCCTTGCCCATGCCTATGTCCTGAATGGTATTACCCAGGTTTTCTTCTAGGGTTTTTATGGTTTTAGGTCTTATGTTTAAATCTTTAATCCATTTGAAGTTATTTTTTGTATAAGGTGTAATGAAGGGATCCAGTTTCAGCTTTCTGCATACAGCTAGCCAGTTTTCTCAACACCATTTATTAAATAGGGAATCCTTTCCCCATAGCTTTTGTCAGGTTTGTCACAGGGGGTTTTAAAGGGAGACTTAGCACAAGCCAAGGAGTCTAATCATTAACTACATCTTGTCTGTTCTCAAATGAAGCTTTGAGAATTAATTAAATAACTTCTAATTTTTTGTTTGAAAAAGTTACTGAATATCAAAACCCAGAAAAAGTCGAATTATGGTTTGTATGTATAAGATCTATCAAAAGACACATCCATCATATCCATCATAGGTGAGAACATTTGGATCATAGAAGTAGAAACAGACACTAGAGAAGCAGGGATATACAATGTGTTATCATTTTATTCTTTGTCCATATATAAAAGCCTCTTATCCTTTTCTTAAAGGCCCTGTATTAAAGCATGCTTGATTTCATAAAATCATGTAGGTGGACTACGTACTCTCAGTAAATAGTTAATATAAAAGCCGTAAAAGAATAGGCTAAATGAAAAAACATGGGTAGCAGAAACAGCTGTTTTCGTGCTCTTTAGACAATTTAATTGCAACATGCCTAATCATTAACTTTTTTCTGCAAATAAGAAAAGCAATTTCAATATTAGCAGAAAAAATCCTAGTCAACCTGTCAGAACATCACTGTTTCATAACAATTTAAGAATCACTGTCTTAAAAGAATAAAGATCTGATCAACGTCTTCATTTGATAGACAACCCAGCTGTCAGCCTGAGAGGTTGAGTGTCTTGCTGAGATCACCCAGGTAATCAGAAGCAGATTCTGGACATGAAGCCAAGTCCACTTATTCCCAGTCTACTGCTAGTAGTTTCTTTTTATCACACTTTACAAATGTGTTTGTGAGTAAGCAAGATAGGTCAAGATTAAATATAAATATTTGGCAAATGTGTGAACTTAGGCTTGTTTATATTTTCATCGTGAAAGATACAACTTTTTATTTGAGGTATGGCTTACTCATGAAAACATGTACAAACTCCAAAATATTTACTATGATTTCTGATTTACAAATTGCTAATGAAACAAAGTATTTGAATATGGCTTGTGTTTTGAAATGCTAAATGTTAAACCTAAAATTACCTAATGAGATTCCTAGCATCTTCATTTCACACTTATTTGAATCCGTCCTATCCATCAGTTAGTACAACAGAAAAGCATGGCAAGCATTTGATTAATAATTTTATGTACTATACTTTATCGTAACAGGTGCATAGTCCTTAGGCATAACATAAACTTATAAGGTTCTCTTAAATGGATCAAGATTATAAAGTAAAAGAAAAATCATAAATAATTTTGTAGGTAAACAGAAAAAAGACAAAAACATACATAGAATAAGTCAATAGTTTTCAAATTATTAATATGCAAGCAAAGTACCTATAGTCACTAAGGAGATTATATAAGACCTTGATGCAAGGGAATACAGTATTTTGGGGGGCTAATAAGAGCTTAACTTTAAAAATATTACTAATGCTTTACACCAGACAACTTTGCTTTCAAACGTAACAAAATATATTCTTATACGGGTTTAAATAAAATAACTATTGTTTCTATTTCATTCACTTTAAAAATAATTAGCATAACTATAAGTTTCAATGCTTACCTGAAAGAACGCATCCTTTCGACTTAGAGGTATGCTCATGAAAAGTGTCACATAACTTTCCGAAATTCTGTCAAATAAGCAATCTTGGTTTTCTCTGTCAGGCTTTAAAAAAGTGTGAAATTAAAGTCAATATTACAATTTAAAACTGCAATTTGTTTACATGATGTCAGCAATTTTATTTATTCTTATGAGCACATCAGTTGGTATAGGAGTATCAGCATGCGTGGCTTCTGGCATAATGTAGACCCAAATTTTAATACTGGCTGTTATACATTAGCTGTATTATCCTGGGCAAGTTAATTAAGTGCCAGGTTTCTCATCTACCAAATGTAGGTAACATATGTTTATCTTAAAGGAGTGCAGTAAAATTAAATAAAGACAGAGATCATATTTTTCTAACTTTGTATTTCAAGGCCTTAGCACAGTACCTGGCAATGAAAAGCATGCAAACATTTTATGAGTTAATTATCCTTGCATTCCAGGAATAATCCCACTGGTTATGGTGTATAATCCTTTTAATATGCTGTTGATTTTGATTTGCTAATATTTTGTTGAGGATTTTTATGTCAATATTCATCATAAAAGATATGGGTAGTTTCTGCTTTGTTTTTATTGTAGTGTGTTTTTTGGGTTTTAGTTTCAGAGCAATACCTTCTAACTCATAGGTTGAGTTACAAAGTATTTCCTCCTTTTCAACTTTTTGGAACAGTTTCAGAAGGACTGGTGTTTATTTTTAAATGCTGGTAGCCTTCAACAGTGAAGCCCTCTGTTACAGGGCTTTTCTTTGATGGGAAGTTTTTGATTACTGATTCAATCTCCCATTTATATTGTCTATTTCTTTCTTATTCCATCTTGTTAGATTGTATGTTTACAAGAATTTGCCCATTTCAATAACATTATTCCAACTCGTTGGCATACATCTGTTTATAACACTCTCTTATAATCCTTTTTACTTCCATAAAATTGATAATATTTTCCCCAATTTCATTTAAAATTTTAGTATAGTCTTCACTATTTTTTAATAGTCATTCTAGCTAAAGGTTTGTCCATTTTGTTCTTCTAAGAGACAGAACTTCTAGTTTTATTTATTTTTTTATCACAAAGCAATTTATTTCTTTACAAAATGGATCTCTGATTTGCAAGGGGGTTTACCTCAAGCACATTTATAAAGCCAGCTTCTTCATTACAGCATTTCCTCCTTGGGGCACACTTGCACACTTCTTCTTTTTTTTTTTTTTTTGTAATTTAGGTTCTGGGATACAT